TGCAGCGCGGAGCCCCAGGCGCATGCACAGACCCCATCAACTACAACAACACAACGCCCGCATGTTGCTGCTGCTGCTGCTGCTGCTGCTGGTGCTGCAGCTGCTGCTGCTGCTGCTGCTGCTGGGGGCAGAGTGTGGGGCGTCCACAGCAGCAGCAGCTCGCGCTGCAGCAGCTCCCGCAGCGCAGCAGCAGCATGCGGCACCTCTCTTGAAACCCGCAGCAGAGGAGGAAGCCGAATCCAGTTGCTGCTGCTGCTGCTGCTGCTGCTGCTGATGCTGCTGCTGCTGCTGCTGCTGACGCGGCGTGCTGCTGCTGGGGGCTGCGAGGGAGAGCAGCTGAGCCGCAGCAAATGCAGCAGCAGCCGCGACAGCAGCAGCTGGGCCCCCTCACTGAGGGGCCCCTCTTCTATTGCTTCTTGTTTCACAGCAGCAGCACTTGCTGCTGCTGCTGCTGCTGCTGCTGCTGCTGCTGTGTCTGTGTCTGCTGCTGCTGCTGAAGCCGTTGCTCCTGCTGCTGCTGCTGGGTTTGTTTCCTCCTTCACAACAGCAGCAGCAGCCAGAGGAGTAGCAGCAGTCGCATCTGCTGCTGCTGTTGCTGCTGCTGCTGTTGTTGCTGCTGCTGCTGTTGCTGCTGCTGCTGCAGGCCTGGGAGCTCCCAATAGTACCCCCAACCTGCGCATGCATTGCTGCTCCTCCGGCAGCAGCAAATGCTGCAGCGCAGCAGCAGCAGCAGCAGCAACACAGAGACGAATAGGCAGCAGCAACCGCAGCGTCGGCATCCCCCTGCTGCTGAGGCTTCCTAAAGGAAGGCCTGCTGCTGCGCATGCAACAGCAACTGCATCTACTGCTGCTGCTGTTTCTGCTGCTGCTGCTGCTGGGGCTGGAGCTGCAGCAGCAGCAGCAGCAGCAACAGCAGCAGCAGCAGCACGCGGCTGCTCCCATGGGAGCGGCCGCCTACGCGGCAGCAGGGCTTGAGCTGGGGGGCCCCCTGCTGCTGCTGCGGGGGCCCCCGCTGCTGCTTGGGGGCCCCCCGCTGCTGCTGGGGGGCCCCCAGCAGCAGAGTGGTCATTGTCTTCTGTTAGATCAATCACAGCAGACCCTAAACCCTCAGCTGTTGGGGGGGCCCCCCTGCTTGGGGGGCCCCCCTGGGGGCCCCTCGGGGGGCCCCCCTGGGGCCCCCATGAGGAGCGCTTGGGGGCCCCTAGGGGGCTGGTGAAGAAATCCTTGAGGGAGCTCTGAACCCTTCTGCTGCTGTTGCTGCTGCTGCTGCTGCTGCTGTTGCTGCTGCTGCTGCTGCTGCTGCTGCTGCTGCTGGAAGACATTCCCCCCTCTGCAGCAGAACACTAGAAAAGGAAGACGAGGGTTTGGTGGCCATCGCGAGCGTTTCAGCTCTCAAAAATTAGGGTTTAGGGTTTAGGGTTTAGGGTTTAGGGTTTAGGGTTTAGGGTGTGTGCATTGCTGCCGTAGAGGGGCCCCTAACAACACCCCGGGCTTCGAGTTTCGGGTTTAGGGTTTAGGGTTTAGGGTTTAGGGTTTGGTGTTATATTCCTTTACGTTTTCTATTACATAAAGAAGAAAAAAATGTATTATAATTTACGGCTAATAAATTAGGGTTTAGGGTTTAGCGCCTAGGGTCTAGGGTTTAGGGTTTAGGGTTTAGGGTTTAGGGTTTAGGGTTTAGGGTTTAGGGGTGGGCCCTGTGGGGCTGAGTGCTTGGGGCCCCGGGGATCCTTCGCCGCTACCATTCAAGGGTTTAGGGTTTAGGGTTTAGGGTTTAGGGTTTAGGGTTTATAAGATATTTTTGTGATTATATGATAAGCAAGCAGAGCTCGTCGCTCCTCCTCCACGTTCATTGCCTACCGGGACCTCCTAGGGTTTAGGGTTTAGGGTTTAGGGTTTAGGGTTTAGGGTTTGTGACTGAAGATGTATCTGCGTTTCTACTTAAACGAGAAGGGCCAGCGTGTTTACACTTTGGCGGTGAGTACAACCCAAGGGTATATAATATAAAAGTATTTAGGGTTTAGGGTTTAGGGTTTAGGGTTTAGGGTTTATTAGGGTTTAGGGTTTATGGGGTGTACGCGCAGACCCACTCCCCCACGGGCCAGCCAACCCTCTCT